CCCCCCCCCCCCCCCCCCCCCCGGATTCTAATTTTCGCGAACGACAATACGGGACATTGGCGTCCTCGGAGTAAACCAAACTGCGGCACAGGAGACCGAGCGAAAGGCGAAGCGCGCGAGGCGGCGGAAGAAGGCCAAGCTGCAGGGCGGCCCCTCCCTCCCCCCGTCCCCGTCATGGAAGATAACCGTCCGCCCCCGGTAGCCTCGACCGACGTAAAACCTGCTGCTTTATGAAGGCGCGCGGGACCGATGGTTGGCAGTGGGGGATGAGATGAAGGCTTGGTTGTCCTTTGGTAGGAGCTGAGCCAGAATGGAGAGATACAGACACAGACCGTCCGTTGTTCTGTGTCGTTGTGAACCGGGAAGGGGTTGCTCCTGCTGCTTGATATGGCAGGAGAGGGAAGGGGAGAGACTAGAGAAGGATCAAGAGGACGGCGGTTCATGTGTGTAATTCTCCACGACAACACCTCCTCCTTGGCATCCGCATTATCTAAATATGTAGCGCTCCGCGGCTTTGTATGTTAAATCACTGAATAAAGGCCAGAGAAAAAGTCCCATACCGTAGCAATTAGACTAATCCTGATAAGCGGCAGCGGAGGCCACCTGTAATTCTACGATTTCCCGAGCAGCACACAGTGGGTAACAGGCTCAACAAGACAGTTTGCTGACCGTCTTGTGCATCTATGTGTATGTCATACAGTACGGGCCCTGAGAGAAGAAACGTCAATATCGGGTTGAGGCTAATCTCATTTTTTGGGTGGAAGGGCCAGCCGGAGTCGTCCATTTTCTAAAAAGGCATTTCTTAATCCTTTCGACTGTCGCATCCTCCTGATTCTCTTGTTTCTGGCTAAGATAACAGTTCATGCAGCGGCGGGTAAAGCAGCCCGCGAGGCGCGGAGTAGCTAGTGCGGAGGCGGAGCGGGCAGCGACAACAATCTAATTCTCCTCGAACGAAAAACAAACACTGTCAAGCTATGGGTACGGAGGGGGTGGGAGCAAGGAAGCAGCAGCAGGGGGACGTTTCTTATTGGACACGCTCCCCCAGCAGCCCTTTTGTTTCTGATGTGTTGGGGGTATCACGCGATCATGTTTCTTATTGGGACGTATCTCATGTTGTGGCCGATGGATGTTGAGCTGTGTTTCTTCAGCGTTTTTTTCTTATTTTGTCTTGAAAAGTTGAGCCTTTTTCATTACGGAGTTTTTCTCACGTGCAGGCCCGCGTGCTGTAAGTCCTACCACTGCTTGTCAGGTTGGAGCTAGTAGATAAAGTTGCACCATTAGACTAGTCAGCGCTGACTTGGTAGACTAATGGGGCAAGCCTTTCCAAATGAAATATATGCTCAGAGCTCATTTGCACCCGGCTGGATCACATTTTTGGGTTCGTGAGCAGAGATTTCCGGGGACGGACCCCTCGCCAGACGCTGCCTGAGAAGAACTATGGTGCTTGGGAAAGTGAGCAGCCGGGATATCGAACCCGTGCGTGCATCCTTCAGGTTCTATTGTTAAACCATTGGACCAGTCAGCGCTGCCCTGGCTAATGGCATAGCATGTGGCGATAACAGATTCACGCACGGGTTCAAAACCGAACTGGTCACTTTCCCAAGCACCGTTACNCAGGTTCTATTGTTAAACCATTGGACCAGTCAGCGCTGCCCTGGCTAATGGCATAGCATGTGGCGATAACAGATTCACGCACGGGTTCAAAACCGAACTGGTCACTTTCCCAAGCACCGTTACGTTCTTCTCAGGCAGCGTCTGGCGAGGGGTCCGTCCCCGGAGATCTCTACTCACGAACCCAACAAATGTGATCCGGCCGGGTGCAAATGAGCTCTGAGCTTTTATTAGATAAAGTCGCACCATTAGACTAGTCAGCGCTGACTTGGTAGTCTAATGGGGCAAGCCTTTCCAAATAGGAGCCGCTTCGCTTCTCCAGTTTGATTCCTTCCTTCCTCTCTCACAGTCGGTCGTTATCGCTTACTCCCAGGCATCACTGCGCAAGGGGGAACGCATGTACACGCTTGCTTGCTGCTATGCATGCTAGCCATTGTACCGTGTACAGTGTAGAAGGAGGTTGCGTACAGCAGTTTAGATATTTGTAGTCGAGACTAGCCGGTAGGTCTAGACTACATGTACACCGACGAGGGACAATCTCTCCGAGCGGAGAATGTGCGGAATGTTCTCCAAGTTAGTTGTTGAATTTTGTGGTGAAACACGAAGTCTAGTTTACTGCTGTAGGCTTGGGTTCGTGGAGTTGTGACCCACGTACGCACAATCTCAAAGAATGACCTCCCGTTCGAGACAATACCCACAGCAGTAGTGAGTATTGGTTTGTTCGTCGGGTGTGCTGTAGGCAGACACGTGCTGCGGTGCTATTTCCGTCTTCATTTTTTTTTCACGTCGCGCCAAGCTGAACCTGCGCAGCAGCACCCAGTGGGTCACCATAGTCGATCTCGCTGTGAAGCGTCGCAACGAATCCTGCATCACACGCATCGCTGCGAAGCCCTGAATGACAAGGTAAGCCCTCAACAAGTGTGAGGTCAGGCTCACTCCGGACAGATGCGTATGAATGTTGCCCTGTAGACTATCTATGTACCGCAATAGCCGGAGAGATGGCACGGGTCGGGGAGATGGCAACGGGTGCAACTCTCCGAACCCTGGACCTAAGATTGAGCTACACAAGTATGGTTGTCTACTTGCCTGTAGTCTAGCTCCTTTTCAACTTCTGGAATGAGTTATATGTGCGTACCTTTTACACGTGGGGGCGGTGTCAGGGGAGGGCCACTCCTGTATGCACGTATGCATGCACGTGGTTTCACGCGGGATGCCTGTTGTTTTTATCAACTGGTATGAGGTTGCCTTTAACGTGCATTCAACCAAACACGCGACGTACAAGCTTCAAGACCCTACCCCACCTTACACGCCTTGCTGCGTACGTACTGATATTCGTAGAGGGAAGACCGAAACTAGCTAACCGAAACGAAAGCGGTAGACAATTGATACCGTATGTACCGGCACCTCAGATGGAAACAACATCGTTTGTTGTCCTCATCACGCAATAAAAGCCAAACTCGCATCAAACACAAAAAAAACGCTCGCTGCACGGAAAGTCGTTACGTACAGAACCGGCCCGCACATAAGAACCTCTTATTTGGAGCGAGGTTCGCTTCTTGTTGGCTGCCCCAAGCCGAGCACAAGTTCTCATTTGCCAGGTTCTTATTTCGCCGTCCAGTTGTCTCCAGAAACGGTGTTCTTGTTCTTATTTCATCATCGATTGCTCAATTGGTGCACTACTCAACTGCACTCGACGCAGAGTTTCATACCCGCAAACACCCCTCCATGGGGCAACTGTCAATCGCCTTGGTCCACAGGAGTGACTTTGGGGGTGCGTACCCTTCCCGCCCTACTGACGCTCTCAAGCAAAACCCATGAGCCTGCCGCCGCGTCCGGATCTCCGCTGTACTTGTCTAAGGGCAGCTTCATATTGCGCGTACTGTGGTCTACTTCCAGCTGCACACAGTAGTCGTACAGGTGGCGCTGCGGAGATTGCTGAATGATCAACCCACCGAACCACCCCATGCCCAGCCGAACAAGCACTCCACGTTGCAAAAGCAATCTGTCAAGAGCAGTGGGGGTAGATTCTTGAAGGCGAAACCCGCCGGGATCTCCATTCCCTGCGTCTCGTCCTCCGGGTCGACTGGGTCCAGGCTGTCGTCCTCGTCCAAAAGAGCTAGCTCGTCGGTCTGGGATTGAGACATGTCTGCGACGAAGGGTACCGTGAAACACGAGAAGGAACGTACGGGTGTCATCGCCGTTACTCAACTGAAGTGAACACACCATTTGTTCGTAGACGTGACGCGGAAACAGAATATCAGCAATATCCCAAACAGCACAAGAAAAGATGAACAAAAAGGACAATGAATTAACTGTAGTCTATGTAGTGCCAATCAAACTAACTGTCGTCGTCTTCATCGCTGTATCCAGCGCCCTCCACGCCCTCCCCGCTGTTGGCGCCGTTGCGCTCATCCCCGACGACCGGCTCGCGCCTTCCGGCGCCCTCCTCCTCCCGCCCCTCGGGCCCATCGCTGCCGTCCTCCGAACCTCCTTCGTTCTCGCTGGAGTCTTCATCGTTTGCGAAGGTGTACGGCTGGTCCAAACCCTCCAAGGTGATTCGATCATCGCCTGAGCCGTCCACGGTCATCGCCATCCCGCACTTTTCGAAAAGGCGGTGTCGGTACCCCTGATTGCTGTTGAGTTTTGCCATGGCCGCTCCCGTCCATTGAGTGATCAGTACGCGCCGGTCAGA